ATATCTATTTGAGCTCAGTAGTGAATGAAGATATAGTCAATGTGCCAAACAAAATTATATTCTTTTGCATTCTTTATCAATGCAAAATTAAGTATGTATTCTTGCCAATGAAAAATAAAATGAGAGAGTAAATGAAAACAATAAAAAGAGTCAAGATACCAAGGCAAAAAAGGACAGAAATAAGAGAACCACGGACATATTAAAAAACTATATTAGAAAGTTAATGAACAAAAAGAAAGAATTTTGAAAAGAAAGCATGTAGAACAAAAAAAATGAATGATTTGTCATTACAAATATGTGCTCTTTAGTTTATCAACACACTTACTGCCATACATACAAAAGATCATTAAAGTAAAGTATCGTTTTAATAAAGAAAACAGAATAAGGATAAGAATACAAATAAAAATGTATTAGGATATTCAATTAACCATTCAAATATGAGAAAGTGATCTTGTATAATTATGGGATACCAATTTCCAAGGACAACAGGAATATTTGAAATAAACCCTAGTAAGAAGTGAATATAATCATTTCAAAGATTCCACATTCAATTCTTGGTTGAGTAGCTTCTAATATTATTGCTAGAATATCCTCTTTTCTTCTAAATAATTCAATTAAACACTCTTTCACATGTATTGATTGTAAATTAACAATTCGAAACTTTCTATTCATATACCAGTAACTTATTTAGTGGTCCTTTTAAAAACACTGATATTATCAAGAAGTATAATCTTCAAATGAATGGGCTTTTATATTTGGTGTATAAGAATCACAAGGCTTGAAATTTGGCCAATTATAAATGAAATCTCTTATGAACAATGATGCAAATTTCATATCAAGGAAAACTGAAAATTATTGATCAAACCTTTGTCAGTATCAGCTTGTTGCTAGAATTTGATTTAGCAAGTCAGAGATCTGAATTTCAATCTACACTGGACATTTTAGAAATACAAATGTTGGCTATAACCTGTGCATAATTGCAGAGCAGCTACAGTTATCATTAGAATAAGTGAGATTGAAAAACAAATATTTCTTCAATATTCACTTTCATTACGCGAGGACTATAGAGACCAAATGTGGGGAAGTGTTTTATTCCACTCATTTGTGTCCAAATAGAAGGAAATGGGCCAATTTTTTTTTAAATTTTTGAAAATTGGGATGGAACCAGACCGAAACGTGTCCAGACTTATCCGGGGTGCAAAAAAATCACTAAAAATGACAATGTATTCCAAATAACATCAATATTCAACAACAAATCTTCACCAAAATGATTCAAATAATGAAATTCATGGTTCTATGTACACAATATTGAGTGTACACATTAATTTTCAAAATAATACGGTATTTTGGAGCTGAAATAGACCAAATTTCAGGAAAAAACAGGAACAAAATTGACTATTTTGAATTGAAATCACTGAATACTTCAATATTACATTCTAGTGAGACACATTATCAGTCAAAAGTGTCCATATTTGAACATCTCAGGCCATTATAAAGAGCAGTAAGAATGGTCAAGAAGGTTTTTGGTGACTCCAACTCACACATGTTTAAAAATGGCATTGTGACTTTGAAAGTAAACCATGCTACAAAGCGCATTCAATATATTCCACTTCAAGGTACAATTCACATGCTTGTACCAGTTGATTATTTGATGGTGTATCTGAAACAGTATTCCTTAGATCATCAAAATGGTGAAGCAAGGCAGCAGCACTATATCCAAGGAGACCAAAACGTCTTTCTTTATATAATGCAACCTTTTTCTTTTTACCAGCTTTATTCAATACATCATTAAATTCCTCATAGATTGATGTTTTATGACCATCATTTGATACAAGTTTACAAAATGCATCAATTACAGCAGGGATTAAACCTTTAGCCAGGAAAGATTTCAGAGATGGCATTGTTTTGATTATTTTTTTCCTTTAGTTCAAATTTACTCTCTGCATGATTCACAACAGATCAGTTTCCTGTGTTAAACACCTCACAAGTATGGCTCATGCAAAGAAGATGTAGGGTTATGTGCTGTGACAGGAGGGTTGCAGCTACCAAGTTTTCAATCTTCAAATTCTTGGAAATTGAATTTGTCATGAGGGCCGTTATTTTACCCCAAATCAGTCTATTTTTGCTTAAAACAATCAAAAATATTTTCCTAATTTCTGTGTAAGCTGTGTAGAAAGAACATTCAATCATTTGAAACAAAATCAGAAAAGTTTTTGGCTCATTTTTATAGTTTTGTGGAATATGTTGCCATTTTTAGTGATTTTTTGGATCCTGGGCAGAGATGAAAGAAAAGATTAAAGCATAATAAATTAGGTGTAAAAACATTACAAAATAACTAAGATTAACTTAAAAAAAAAACTGAAGACTTTGAAAACCACACTATTATATAACATATTGACAAAATTCACTTTTAATTTCAATATTTATAAAATATATAGAGCAGAAAAGGTTGTTTTGAAATGTTAATGTGCACAGCAGAATTTTTTAAAAAAATGCATACAAAATTGTATTATAAATAAATTTGTTTGAGAGATAACAAGAAAGCTTGTCAATTCTAAACTATTTGCTCTTTTGCTGAAATAATACAAAAATATAGCAATAACATTTCATTTCTCTCTTACATATGTTTAAAAAGATATTTTAATTTAACAATGATAAATGTTCAAATTGCAATTTAATAAGGTGAATGCTGAGTTTATTGCTGATTTTGGTAACTAATCTTTTTATATTGTAATTATTCCAAGTATAAAAATAATATTCAAAAAGTTATGATTATACTAGAGAGAGAATGCATTGGCAATTGATTGATGAAAAAAAAAAAAAAGAAAAACAAAATTATTTCTTTTTCCTTTGATATTTTCTTATCAGTACTTTCCTTTCTTCTCCTTAATCAGCCTGTGAAAATTTCCCAAATAAGAAATATTGAAAGGATTGTAGTATTCTTATTCATAAAGAGATGAAAGAAAAGATTAAAGGATCATAAATTAGGTGTAAAATCATCACAAAATAACTGATTGTGTTGATATTCTGGTTACTTTTGAGCAAGTTGGACCTTGAAAAAAAAAAAGAAAAAAAATGGACAAATGGATTCCCACTATGGACATGGACACTGTTGGATGTAGACCTTCCTCAGACCTTCTCTTTTACCCTTAATGGGGTGGGATGGGCCATTACCCTACTCCACTGCTCCAATGCATGATAGTTGGGGCTAATGGCAGCTGATGTTCCCAAGCGGTACCTCATCTAGGTACTGACCAGGCTGACAAGAACCAGTGTTTCAATCTGATATGGCTGTAAGTGGATTGAGCATTAGGAATGTGAATTAAAATATGTTTTGACAATATTTTCTCAATATTCAGTTTCTATATTTTGGTGGATTTATTTCTCCCTGCGATTTCAATGGAATAAAATGAAAAGCAGTGCATACAAATGAATCCTCTTAAATTAACAGATTTTTTAAATATATTTTGTTATTTTTTTAACTCTTTCTTGTCAGTTACATAAGATAGAGAGCTTAGAAAATGTTCCAAACAAAAACACAATGATATATTCCCATGCAGTCTTACACTTTTTATTTGCATTTATATACTTAAAAAACCATTAATATTTTTGAGCTTCTAAAACGCACAAAGTATATATACACCATAATGTATCGTAGTGGAGAAGACTGCATGCCTTGAGGAACCCAAATGCAATGCTGTCGGGAGCTCCCTTTCCTGTTAGGATTACCCATGTTGGTAAGGATTCAGGGAAGAGACCAGATTAAGCACAGTCTGATAACTGGTGGGTAGGTGGTCAAAGCGACATTCTACATACAAGAACAAGTTGACAGCCTGATGCAAGCTGTCATCATGAACCTGCCTTTCAAGCTCTGGTTTGCCGCAGTGGATGGTGTCAGCTGAAGTGTTTCTGCCAGGGAGTGGCGACCCATGGAACACCTCAAACAATTCACAGCCAAGGCTTTTGTGTTCATAGGACTCATTTCACACAAAATGAAGGCAATGTCGATAAGCACCCAATACTCAACAATGAGTTCTGCCAATGACAACGAGGAGTTGTTAGCATAAAAGAAATTTTCTCCACACGTACCAGTACTATTTATTTCTCTTTCAGAAACTTCTTATTTCCACAAAAAAAAAAAAAAACAATTTTACAGGAAAAAGAAAAACTATAATTACCTTTTTTTATTTACCTCTTTATAGCAATTATATTTTTTCTTTCTTCTTGCTTTTCATTTCCCTATTTTAATAATTTCACCCCAAACAAAGCAATAAAGCCACTAAGACACAAGTTGGAAAGAATAAGAAAAAGAAAAACATTGTTTAGTCAACAGTGTAGCCAAGGCCAGCAGTGCATGTGCTAATTTTATATCTCATGTATGATGTGATCCCCTTAAAATTAACTTCAAAATTAGGTCTTCAAAAGTGACATGATATGTGAGTATATACACTACATTGTTAATAATGAAAATGAATATAAAAGAACAAAGAGGAGATAACAATTGTTTTAACAATATATTGCTAAAAATAAAAATGAATAAATATAAAAGAGGAGATAACAATTTTTTAAACAATATATAACATACATTGCTAAAAATAAAAATGAATAAATATAAAAGAAGAAAGAGGAGATAACAATCCACCTAAATTGAGTCATTGTGAGAAAAAAAAACAAAAACAACATCAATATTGCATTTATAATAGGTACTTCCATAAGATCGCTAAAAAAAAAAAGAGCATAGCACGATGAAAAAGACGCCAAACTTGACGAAAACAAAATTTTATCGTCTAAATGCTTATGTTATTATTAAGGAGAAAGATCAAAGTATTTTGGGGGTATTTTTTTACATTTTTCATTCGTTCCTAGCATGTCCGAAATTTTCAGTTTAGTACTCTTTTCCTTGTTTCTAGTGAAATTTTTCTGTTTATTAGAACACTGTTTAGCTTTTGGAATGCTTCCTTTACATAAGCCAAAAAAGCATTCCAAAAGCTAAGCAGTGTCATGCGAACACTGAAGTTAAGCAATATCGAGCCTGGTCAGTACCTAGATGGGTGATCACTTGGGAATACCAGGTGCTGTGTGTGTGGTGTAATGGATAATGGTTCAGAATTGTTAATCAGAAAGCTGAGTTTCAGTTTGGTTCAATATAATCATTTACACACAAATACCCTTGGGAAAAAGGTATGAATCCATCTCCCCCACCATTTATGGGTTAATAAATTATTAATAAAAAAAAACAAAAAACAGTAAAATTGTGTATAAAATATTAATTAATATGCTACTAAACAAAAACAACCAACCAACCAACAATAAGAATATTATATCTTGGAAAAAATAATGTTTCTCAAAAATGCCTTTTGTGAAAATTTTAATGAAAAATATGCAAGAACAGTAAGATATCATCAAATTATGGACACATAAGAATCGGGTTTTATTTAAAAACAGTTGTTACACATATCGGTTGGCTTTGAAAGCTTTATAGAATTTGCATTTTATTTTCTTCTGGTGTATTTACTAATCATTGGATAAATGATTTCAAAAGAAATATATAGTCTAAGTAGAATTAAATCTTGCTTTGTTTTGTTCCTACACTTTTGTCTAAGCTAAGATTTACTTGGTATACACAAAATAAATAAATCAATTTGTTCATATAATAAATTATAATAGTAAAAAAAAAACAAAAAAAAATGGTTGTGATGTAATGAATATGCATACACCTGGGTTCCCCCTCACAGTAATATAATTGGCTGGTATCAGCTATAAATACAGACTGATGTGGAGGTTCAGGATGACGCCTGTTGACTACGTCTATTGCCTAAGCCTATTGCCTATACCTCTTGCCTACCACTATGACCAGTCCATTACGGTTACATGTTAGATTGTCCTACTCGGTTACAGTAGTCCACAACCACTTTGCTACTTCGAATAAATATATCCCTTTCCAGGACATATCAGGTTGTAACACTGAATCTGGTACAACTAAAACTAAACAACTAACAAATTTTAATATGAAAAATGATTAATTTAATCATGAAGTGAAAGAAAGGAAAAAATAAAAGAAACCTACTTTTTTTTTTATTGGCTGAATGATTGATTTGTTTTTATGGCTTAATCCTTTGCAGGTTATTTAAAGCCAGAAAATATTTTTAGATTGTAATAATTATTTTGGAGGTAATAATGATTTAGTGATACAAGTCTTACTAATTAACCCATAGCTCAGGGGAAGAAGAGGTGGATTCATACCTTTCGCAAGGTTATTTGCATGTGAGTGAGTATAACAAGCCCAACTGGATTTGGAACTCTGCACTCTGATTAACAATTCTAAGCCATTATCCATTACACCAACCACAAATCCAAGTATTCTCATGCAGTCACCCAACTAGGTACTGACCACCCTTGATATTGCTTAACTTTGGTGATCAAAGGGGAAATTGTGTTTCAATGTGATGTGCCCTTAATACCTACTTTTTTTTCAGCATTAATTTAATGAACAAATAAAATCTAGTTATTGTATCTTGCATGTCATTTTTGATAATCTTGAAGGTTTATAAATCCTAATTGAATAATTTTAGCAGAAATATAGTGTTTCAGTACTTATTTTAATGAATGCAAAAGAATTGGAAACTATTCATGAGATGTGAGTAATGACGAGGATATATATAGATATGTATGAATGAATATATGAAGTGCCCACTTGAACTGTTATGAATGCTAAAAATAATATGAATTTATACAGTGTTTTCTTTGCGTACATCCTGTAAAAGCTGCCAAATAATTACAAAGAACAATTATATTTTGAGAAGAAAACACTGCATATTGCCATCATCCTAATCTACCAAGGATATCATCAATCATACTGTTAATACTTCTTGTATAGTCAGTAATCCTGGGTTTTCATATGAAACCTCAGGAGATTAATTTCCATAAAACACTTTGATTTTATGGTTAAGTAGATATGCAGTATGTAATAAAAAGAAAGCCAATGTAACTCTCATATATTTTTAGTATTCAAATGTTTTAACAGGAAATTTTACATGGAGATTAACTGAAACATTTTACTAACATTTTCCTTGCTACATTGTTATAGCATTGTTGCTTAGCTGTCCTGAACCATTTTGAGGAAAAATAGCAAACTACACTATACAGAAAATAAATGATTATAAAAATACCAACAGCAATTTCTCATGGGCACTCTGTAGTATAGACTAAACTAAATGACACCCACAACACACAATATGCTAAAAATACATCACAAAACAGATTATATTGTAAGCTACTATATGTCTATGCTGGTTTCATAATAGCAAATGTACAAGTTGGCTTACAACACAAAAAATAGGGACCAAAATTTCACTGCATGTTGAAAATGTATATACATGTCAACAGCAGACAATGTTAGTTTCATAGACATATGTCTTCAGCAGCAGAAGTGTTAAAAAGCACTTGTGTAGTGATAAATTTTTAAAACACCTTAAATAAAGGTTAAAATCTGTCATTCATCGGGGGGGGGGTAGAAAAACGTATACTAAGTTTCAATAAATATGTTTATTTGCTTTCAATCAGAATAGCATGAAACTGACTCCAAAACTTTAGAAAGTTTTTTAGTCATTTTATGCTATTTTTATGAAAGTTTTATTTCCTGTAGCTTTGAATTGACTATTAGTTTTTAAAAAAACTTTTTCCAATTCAAATTTCAAAGCTTTAAAATTATAACAATTATAACTGAATTCTTTTTCGCTACTACTAACAGTAGTAGTAGTATGAGTAGTAGTCGTCACCAAGTAGTTTTAAATTTTTTATTTTACAGTTGAACAGACAAGTGGACGTATATTTTAGAAATTAGATTGACTGGGCAAAAAGACATGTTTATTAATAACTTTGCTCACAAAATATAAAAATATGAAAAACAAGTCATAAAAAGCTCTGAGATTTGCATAAGAATGAAGGAAATCATGTGATTTCTGTATTAAATTGGAAATCCATATGCCAACAAGACATGCGAATGAAGGATATGACTGAATATGAAAACAGCCATATTTGTAGAAGACACACCCACAAAAAAAGAAGAAATCAAACAAACAAATAAGAGTCAGATTCACCAAAATTAAAAGGCGGTGGAAAGATCAAACAATGCAAATGAATAATGCATAAAAATATTGTACAACACAAATGCTACACACCCACACAAGAGCCTATCATACAGATTTACAATATAACTTTGTTTACAGTGCAACAAATGAAAAGGAAAGGAATGTGAATTGACATCTCATAAAATGTCTTGGCTGAAAAGCAACTGTACAGATGGAAAAATAATGAGTAAGCTTGAAAAAAAGAAAGAAAGGCTGAAGTCAGTTCGACATTCACTGAATGCACCCAAAAGATCAGATCAGCAAATGCTGTAACCAGCAGCTATGACCAAAAAGGTAAATGGACTGGATTACGTTCTTTCTTTCCTTTTTCTAATTGGAAGGTCATGCGCATGAGCACATCAGGAATTAGTAATATTGAATACAAAAGAAAGAATATGTGAAAAAAAAAAAAAAAATCAACAGCAACAACAAAACTCAGGTGTTTGTTGATGTTTAGAGAAGTATAGAGAATAGAGACAGTATTATGTAAAAAAATCCAGTCATAAAGGATTTTGGTTCCTCCAAGAGGGAGTCTAAAAGAAATGACCTGTTACAGATTTTTGACTCATTTCAAACATATTCATATGATACAAAATAATGCACTACCATAAAAATATATATATTAAAGATATAAATATATATATTAAAGATATAAAATACTATGACTAAATAAAAATTATAGTAATAAAGAATTCTGAATGATAAATATTTAAAATTTAGAATGAAGAAATATCTACCCAAAATTGTGAAACTAGCTTAAGAAATAAAGTAATGAATATAGAATAAATAATTGAAACAACAATGGTGTTTTAGATTAACAAAAAAACATAGTAAAAACCAAAATATAAAGAAATCAAATAAATGAGTATAGGTGGTATATATAAAAATATAGCTGGTTGATGTTTTTTTATAGTACTATTCATAGAAAGATTGTATTAATAACTTAACAGTAAAAGTGAGTATAACATTTAAAAAAAATAACCCAATATATATTCCAACTAAGTATTTTATTTGTACCATAATTATTTGTGCATAATATGCACATTTACCCCAGATTTTCAAGGCAAAACTGAGGCATGTGTATTATACACCAAAACTAAATATTAACTTTTTCCCAATCACATGTGCTGCCATATTCAGAACAGTGTGACCAAAAGTAATTTATATCTATGTCTTAAACTAATCTGTAAGAATTTAAACCACTAAACAAACACTGGATTTACTTAAAAAAAAAAACCAGAATTTTATTTGTATAGATATTATAGACATTTTCATCCGTTTCACTGCTGATCATGTCAAAGAAATACATCAGGACAGAAATAGCTACTGGAACGAGTGTTTTGTTATAATTTTATTTCTTCTTCTACGAGTTTATTTTCACCACAAATCTATTACTTTTTCATATGAACATCACAACACATTTCCTCTAAATAGTGTAAATTTTGTTTTTTTAAAACATAATGTATCATTATATAAATTGTTATTAGCATGAATTTTAGATATATTGAGCCCTGTTTTATTATCACCAACACTCACTGTATGCTATTACATACACACACACACATATATATAATTTATTTATTTTATGATATTACACTGAAAAGATGTCAAAATCGCTACACAATTGCAGTTGTATTTTGATGTATATAAATGCATCTCATCAGGCAATTGCAAATTATTGGCGAGTGAACAATTTATTTAGATTTAAAAGCAAAATACCTCTTTTTACAAAAAAAGAAAAAAAGGAAGGGGAGTTATAAGATTTGTGGGCTTTACTGTGATCAATCAATCAAATATGACCTATGTTAAATTTAAACTAAGTGAAGAAGCAAAAATTAAAAAACTATTTTTTATAAATGGGTTTTTACAAATTTGCATCTAATGACAGCTAGACATAAACGGATACATAAATTATACAAACTGGACAATGCCATTACCTAAGAAATAAAAA